CCCAGATTATGAAAAAGACGTTCATCTCATCAATACCTTCTACGACACAAGACGTTCTATAACTATTATCCTTCTGTCCTAAATGTCATGATTTAACACAAGGCATGGGATGTGTATCCTTGTATAGTTAAATCAGCTGTTACTGAATCTCAAGTAGACTGGTAGGGATCAGATATTTATCAGTCTCTGGATAGCGACATATCTGGGCATGGCCATGCACTTTCCCAAGTCCTACTATTCAGTGGGCCCATTGACATTATACTTCTATACAGTAGAAGGGACAGATCCTGTATCTGTTATTCACATCTCCAAATATGCTTAACGGTATACCCAACGCATAACTGTACGTCTACCAGTATTTCAGATAGAATTAGTTATGAATCAAAGTATACGGCCCCACATATCAGAGAATGTAATAACTTCAAGTCTTAGGATAGTTATAGCAAGGTCGAATTGAGATTGAGAATACTGATAAACACATTACTGTAGATCCATGCAGTATTCTCAAGATGGGTCAATCCAGTCACATATTATCGATATAATATGCACCTACGTACAGATTAAGATATCACAATACCTATAGTCTATGAGACGCAACTATCTCATCTCGTACGTACTAGTCTTGATACGTTATGATGTCCGTATTATCATAAAATGCGACTAGGGATATTTTAGACATAGCCTTCGTCAATAAGTAACAGTCTCATAATCAGAACATCGTAGTCCTCATCTATGTTACTGAAGCGCTATCGTCTATGGATTGAAGTTATGTTATGTTACACGAGATATAAAACATACTTCAGAGCCTTTCATTCATGATAAAGTGTACAGTTACATAGGTATTTGATTGCCGCTAGGGCACCTAAATACAACATCACTTTCTTAAATAAGAGATGGAGAGCCGGAGCTGCGCATCCTCTCATATGCCCGCTAGAGATGGATGATGATTAGATATTTTCACAGCCGAATATCTTTGAATATTAGATCTCTTCTCAAGATCTAGATCTAAGACGTCTTCTTCGTGGGTTTGCCGGTGAATAGTGGGTGGAGAGCTAGTGCTGGATGATGGAGGTTGTTGGAGATGAGTGGATGAAATTTGAGTGGGAGGTAGGAGGCTGGATTTACGCAAGAAGGAACTGGATGGGGGGTGGGGGGGTTCAATTGTGTCTGTGACTTGGTGAGCGAGACAAGGAGTAAGGGTATTTGTGTCTTTTGATATTCTATATTGGTTTTTGTGCCAAATTGGAAGTGGACATAAACTCGGGGACGGAGGAAGTAATTGATATGTCCACTTATCAACTAATTGTCAACTAGTTGGTTCACTGGCTTCTCTATTTAACATGTCAACATGATGAACTTACAATGAAAGAGTACTGATAAGAGAAGGTAATACAGAGAGTACATATTCATATTAGAGACCCCCATAAACTAGAACTATTGAAAAAATGATAACCTGGAGTGCTCGCCGAGATAACTGGCCTGCACGTATGCGGCGTGCAATGCTTGAAACTCTCTCACGAGCAAAAGAATCATCAAAAACTGAATCACCTCCAACTGCACGAACAGCAGCTGCTTCTCTGTTGCCAGCATTGGGAATAGATGACATAAGAGAAGCTTCTATCTCTTTCCATTTGCGTTCTTCTTTCTCTAGAAGAGCTCTCCTCCTCTCTTTACCCCTTCCTTCCTCTTCGCGTCTCTGCATCGATATTTCTTCTTCCATCTCTTTCTCTATTATATAACTACACATAGATTTACAAACTTAACAACTTAGTCCCACGATGGGTGACCCACTCGGGAGTTCTAGAAAACGATCCAACATTTTGTCCCGAAGAAACTGCGCACAAAGTATCGAGTCTAGTACCTTGAAAGATTTCGTTGAAAATGTCATATTGACCAATAACATTTAGGGTGCTGTTCAAACATGCAACACCAAAGAAAGAATGCCAAATCTAATGATCTTTCGAGGCAGCAGCTTCTAGCATGATTGCGAGATGTCTGTGATCCCATCATGTGAATTGACCTGTCATGCATTAGGACAATTTCGACACGTCTAGCGCATACAATCAATACTGACAAGCATGCTGGGAAATACATGTCTCACTTCCTGGGCAGCGAACAAATTTTGAACGTCTTTTTGATTTAGCCAGCTTATTTAGGCTTCTACTGAAGCCTTCAGCTGCAATTATGAAAAGCAAGGGAGAAAGGGGGTCTCCTTGCTTCAGGCCTCTTTTAGGGATGATGGACTTAGTAGGGTAACCATATATATATATATATATATATATATATATATATATATATATATATATATATATATATATATATATATTGGTTCAAGTGAGAATGCGATCTTATGAAAGAAATAAGAATGAATCTGGTGCATTAGATTGTGAGATCTAAGGGTCAGGATTGCATCAAATTTAGGTGCACCAAAATGGATTGAAAATGCATAATGTCGAAATGTACCAAAATCCCTTGAAAATGCACTATCTCAAAATCTGAATGCAGGATGCAATCTGAGCCGCACGATGCATCAGATCTAAAGGCTAGATTTCATTCTTATTTCTTTCACTAAGGTGCATTCTTACCTGAACCAGCCCCTATATATATATATATATATATATATATATATATATATATATATATATATATATATATTATTTAAAGGAATATTTTTATTAAAATAGAAAGAGAGAACAAAGAAAGTACAAAAGGTGGGGGGTTGGCCGGACCCTTACAAGGCCTGAAACTCACTGCACCAAGGACTAAGAGAGCCCAAACAACAATAAAACTACAATAAAAACAGAGGAGACCGGACAGGGGTGGGTTTCTCCAGTCATGCCATTTATCCATAGTTCCTGTCCATAGCCTTTGTGAGATATTCCAAATGCAACAATTAAGGGAAAGCTTCATTAATACTTCCCATGATTGGACCTTAATGTGCGCAGTACATGGAGTATTGAATAAAATAGAATTCACAAGGTCGATCTGCAGATTGAAACGTGATACTGCCCAGGGCCTTGTTTACCCAGGTCATTTCTCAGCTCCGCCATTTATACACAAACAGAAGCTACAAGGTCCTAGTCCTCATCATCCCTCTTCATCTTCTGCCATTAGAGCCGCAACCCTACCCCGAACAATCAATCATGGAGACAATAATCCACAGCCAAGCTACTACCTGTTCAATCAGAAGATACTCCACCCAGTCCTCTTCCTCTTCGGAAAAGAACACTATTCAGCCTAAAGAGTCTGCCTTTCCATAATCTAAAAAGTCCCGAACCAAGCATAGTTGCCAAAGACAGAAACAACAAAACCAACGCCAAATGTCCCTAACGTTTGGGATTGAAACCAGATAACCCCATATATAAAACCGAACTGCAGCAAATAGACTACTACCTAAACCACTTTTAATTAATAGATGATCCGAACCACAAAGCTCAGGACAATCAGACCAACAAACCCCTGCTACCCACCAGGAGCTTTCTAACACAGTTGCACTAGCACATCAAGAAAATTACCCAAAAGAATGGGGAAGGCATTGTGAAGAGCTGAGAAACCGATGCTCTAAATCGGATAAGCTGCAACTCCAAATCACAGCCTTGAGAACCAATAAGGCAGTAACTAGATGAATGTAGCTAATGAAACAAACAGTAGGTTAAAGAGAGGGGGTTAGAGAAAGAAAAATAACTACAGGACAATCAATAAGCATATTCAATCTCTTCCTCTAATCCATAGTCAGAAAATTGAGACTTCTTCTTTTTCTTCTTCATTTTCTTTTTTTGAGTTTTGGTTAGAGGTTTGCTAAGGGGTTTAAGATCTTCTTTCTTGTGAGGACAACAAAGTTTGAAGAAATTGATAACCTCGTCCTCATGAGATTCTTGGGGATCTAATACGTCTTCTTCTTCAATCCAGCCGATAGGATTAGATTTCCTTCCTAGCTCGAGGATTTTAGCCTTACTCCTCGTGACAATTTGTGACAGTGAGTAGGTCCTTCTGCCCTTTAGTTCCTTACGGAGATGGAGGGAGTGTTTGGAGCATCTTGAGAGGTCGATTTGCAAAGGTTTGAGCTTTGTGTCTATGAACACAAAATCCTCCCCATCGGAGTGGGTATAAAGAATGGGTCCATCCCTTTCCTTAGTGTGATCTTCCACTGCGTTGAGGGATAGAACCAAGCTTTGTCCATTGAGATTGGTAAACGGGTCTTCATCCGGCTCTGCTAAAGTTTCGGATACTTGTTCCTTAGGGAAATTAGCAGCGTATGAGTATACAGCGGGGACAAAGGTGGGAGCAAAAGGGCTAAGAATTTTCTGTGGCAGAGGTGGAAACTCTTCGACTTTGCTGGTGGAGAGGCTATAAATAGGAGCTACGTCAGTCTGGAAAATAACTAGTTGCTTGTTATATATATATATATATATATATATATATATATATATACACACACACACACACACACACACACACACACACACACTAGCATATTTACGCGCGTTGCACGGATTGTAGTGCCCGATCAAGGTTTACTTAACAATAATTCTAAAAATGTTGGGAATCGAAAGCCTGGTGTACTATGAGTAGTGAACAAACAAACAACAATATAATTATGGCAATCGAAAAAAGACTATTTTTTAGAAAAAAACATAAATGAAAATACTTCTCGCTACATAAAATCAATTCATTTTTGTGAAACACTTTGGCCTAAATAAAAACTCTCTACATCCTAAATTCATTTGTCACTTGAGGTACGGAGAGACAATAGACTTGAAGTGAAGCAGTAGGCATGAATCCTAATGGAAAAAGCTAAGTATTCATGAAAAAGTAAACTATTACACAATGCCATTTTGGATATCATAGCATCCATCTTGATAACGATTTTGAATTAAATGTTCTGGACATGTAAATAGAATGAACATTGGTTTACCAACTTTGGTTGTCACATAAATACACAAATAGGAAGCCAAAAAAATAAGAAAGAGACAACACAAAATGTAGAAAATTTTATAAAAGCATGATGAGGAGGGATTGAAAGGAAAAATACGTTGCGTGGCTTCGAAGTCATGGCTAGCTCTTCCAGTTGAAGAGACCGAAGGAACGCCAGTATTGAACATATGACAGGAGACAAAAGCAACACCACAATGCCAAATTCAAACTGCAGAAATAGTTTGAAACAATTGAAAAAATCAAACTTAATTTATATACAAAAC